AAGCATGTGGGGAAAATAAGCATGGGAGGGGCCAAGCATGCCATAACAGGGTGTCACACACCATCCATAAGCTGAGGGCTGGAAGACCACTCCAGAAAGACCTGAAGGATATTTGCAATTTGCTGGTATTCAGAAGGCTGGAGGCAGGAAGATTGTGAGTTCAAGACCACTCTGGGTAACAAAGCAAGACCCTATTTTAGGGGCGGGAGAAGCAGGTGTGGTAGCATATGCCTGCAATCCTAGCAACTCAGCAGGCTGAGACAGGAGGATCTCAAGTTCAAAACCAGCCTCAGCAACTTAGCAAAGCACTAAGCAACTTAGTGAAACTCTATTTCAAAAATAAAAACTAAAAAAAGCTGCAGATGTGGCTCAGTAGTGGTTAAGCAGCTCTGAGTTCAATCCTTAGTACCAAAAAAAAAAAAATTAGAGGGGATTCAAAGTTATCCCTGTAACATACCATTTCTACTCTTTTGCATTGTAACATGCTCTTTAGGACAAGAGAAAAAGAAATACACAGGTGGTCCTATGTACTCACGGGTTCTAGATCCATAGATTCAACCAAGTGCAAATTGAAATATTCTAAAAACTAATGCATCCTTATTGAACATGTACAGACTCTTTTATTGTATTCCTTAAACAATAGAGTAACAATCATTTACATAACATTGACATTGTATTAGTATTATAAGTATCTAGAGATGATCTGAAGTATACAGGAAGATATGTGTATGCTATATGTAAATACTACACAGTTTAAACAAAGCACTTGAGCATTTGTGGATTTGTGGTGTCCAGGGGGTCCTGGAACCAATTCCCCATGGATACTAAGGGACCACTATAGTTATAACTGATACTGAGGAGAAAATGGACATACCTTCAGTCTGTCTTAGGACTATCACAATCCAAAGGAACTATCCTACAGATACACTGATCCACTGATCCCAAACTCCTATTCTCTTATCTGTTGTTTAAGTCACCTGGTTTTAGAAATTTTAAAATTATCTTAAAATTGCAAATAAGCCTATCGTTATTCTTACCAACCAGGAAATGTAATTTAAAGACTAATTTTGATGATTTTATCAAGTTGCTCAGACCAGATATGAACACCACTTAATTCTTAAATGCAAAACAAATATGTAATGGGACTTTTTCTGATGAGACAGTTCATGAAGATCATCAAACAACTAATTCGATCAAGTAACAGATTTGGAAAAAGATCAAATAACTTAGAGTCCCACCGTTCACAGATGGCAACAGAACTGGAATTGAAACACAAGGCTATCTTTGTCAGAGTCCAAAACACTGGGTCATCCCTACAATGAGGCAGAGGCATTAGCTATTGGGTAAACAGGAAGTGAAAGAGAACAAAAGCCATAAAGAAGACCTCATATAATTAATTGTTGCAAGAACTAAATGAGGATGTAGACAAAAAGTCTGAGACATTGGAGGTGGATATTAATCCCCTCTGTTCCTGTATTAGTCAGCTGTCCACCATTGTGAGAAAATCAACTTAAAAGGAGGAAGATTTACTTTGGCTCATGGTTTCAAAGGTTTCAGTTCACGGTTAGTTGGTGCCATTATTTCTGGGCCTGCACTGAGGAAGAACATCATGGTGGAGAGTGCATGGTGCAGAAAAGCTGCTCACCTCCTGGCAGCCAGAAAGCAGGGAGAGAGTAATAGACAGAGGGGGAAAGAGAGAGAGGTGAGAGACAAGATGTACTCTTCAAGGCCAGGCCCCACCTTCTACAGTTTCACTACCATCCATCAGCTGAGGACCAAGCCTTTGTTACATGAGCTTTTGAGAAACATTTAAGATACAAAAACTGTAACAGATGCCCATGTTGCCCTGCACAGCTCCAGCCTGGCACCTTCCTGGGAATTAGTTTAAATGACTGCCCTTCCCAGGAGAACCCTTCTGCATTTTTTAAAAAGAATTTAACCTTTATTTATTTGTTTTTACGAGGTATTGAGGATCAAGTGCTCTACCGCTGAGCCACAATCCCAGCCCTCCTTTCTGCATTTTAAGTAGAAGGCACAGACTTACAGGCACCAGGTCAGATGGAAGACAATTTGGGATTCGGTGTAGACCCTTAGGTAATGGAAAGAAGCCACTCAATTCTTCCTAGTCAAAAGGCCAGCCAAGCACAGCACTACCCTCCTCCCTGAGCTTCCTCAGCTTGTTCCTGGGGAAGGAATTCATGGTTCTTTTGTCCTGGGGGACAATAGCAGACTACCCCTGGCTTAGGGGCTCACTAATGGCTCCTAATAAGCACCTAACTGGGCTGAGGCCTGGGCCCACATCTGCTCTGAGGTCTGCCTTTGCGTGCCAGCTTAGGGAGTGCCATTTAAAATCTGTCCATCTCTGAAGACAGCATCTCAGCACATGACAGCTGAGCCTGGGGAAGCAGGATGTTACAGACAGAAGTGTCCTTTCTCATGACACATGCAGAGCAGCAGGAAGAGCCTGCCTGCCAGGGAAGAGGCCACGGAAGTGAGCAGTAAATAACACGGTGGCCTAGCGAGCACCAGCTTAGAGACCACGTCCCACCAAGGAACACCCACAGATGGGCACAGAAGAGGAGTGGCAGCTAACAGTGTAACTGCATTGACTCAGACCTTGTTCCCCCTGAGTGGTTCATTCTCTAATTTGTTCAAACTTTTGTTATAAAAGGAAAGTAATTCTGCATTCAGGAAGCACTATCGATCCTGGCTAATTTGCTCCATAAGGGGCAATTTCAACAGACAGTCAGGTTGCCATGGTAACATTCCTGTTTTATTTATAGTAACAAGTTCAAGGTATGGGCTATGAGAGGAAACACATCTCCATTCTTGCTGTGATTCTCAAGCTGTTCTCTGAGCAGACTGGTGTTTGGAGGAATCTTCTAAAGCTGGGAGATGGGATGGGATGGGGGTTTTAGCTTCCACTTCCAGCACACACCTGGAGCAACCTTGCTTTCATCTCCTTACATCTTAGGGTTCTGCTGGTTTAAAATAAATAAATAAATACAACTGGAGAGTTGTCATAAAGAGCACTGGACCAGGAATGAGAAGGCTACGTCCTAGTCCCTTCCTACCCACAACACAGAAACCAATGCTCAGAGCTCCTTATTACCACTACACAGAACTAAGGGGGTCTCTGCACCATTCTTAACCTCTGTTCTAGGCTCTTCCTGGCCACACTGCTTGGCCCCACTTGTACCCCTAGGCCTGCTTTGTGCTCCAAACCTATGCCTGGCTTTCTCCTAATGGAAAAATACGCACTCCAAGTCCTTGAAAGGCCAGATTCACTTACTTTTGCCAGACTCTGGGGGCAAACTTTTTCTGCCATTTTGTTTACTGAGGAGAATCTTGAGACTACAGGGTGAACTGTTAGGAAATTTTGTTTCAGCCAGGCATGATGGTAGGCCCCAGCTACTCGAGACGCTGAGGCAGGAGGATCACTTGAGCCCAGGAGACAATTTTAAGCCAACAACATAGTGAGACCATGTCTCTTAAACAAACAAACAAAAAACAACAACAACAAAAAAAAACTGCTTCTTTTCAGCTGGTTTTTGTTGGTTTGTTTTGTTGGTTTGGGAGGCGCCATTTGTTTTGTTGTGGTGGTGGTTGTTCTTTGTTTTTGGCTGCAGTCATTTTTTTTTTTTATCCTTTCTTTTTTGGAACTGGGGATTGAACCCAGGGCTTCGTGCATGTGAAGCAAATGCTTTGCCACCAAGCTATACCCCAACCCTTCAGCTGTTTTTCAGGATGTCCTTGATACCAAAGAAGAAAAAGAAGAAGAGGAGAAGGAAAGGTGGGGAGTGGGAGGGGAAGAAAACACCATCGCAGCTAATACTGACAGAAGAAAAGCTGCAGTTGTCAATTCACAGTCCCCCACCTGGACTCTGATTTGACCACAGGCCACACTCGTGCCTGTGTGGTAGGAGTGATCCTTCAGATTGCCGTCTCCCTGTATCCCTATCCAACACTATGGCCCCAGGGAAGGTGGAGGTGACTACCAGCATAGGAATGAGACTTTATGGGAAGTCTAATTGATTTTTCTGATAACCTAAAACTCTTTCAAAACATAAGGTTATCAATTTTTTTAAAAGACATGCATGAGGGGCTGGGATTGTGGCTCAGTGGTAGAGCTCTTGCCTGACATGTGTGAGGCTCTGGGTTCGATTCTCAATACCACATATAAATAAATGAATAAAATAAAGGTCTATCAACAATTTAAAAATATTTTTAAAAAATGCATGAGCCCCCAAAGCAAAGGGAGATCCCATCCATTGGAAGGTGTGAGCCAGAAAATGCTCATGAAGAGGGTAGTTTCTTTTAAGATATGAAGATTTCCACAAAGGAAGAGGTAAGGGAAGTTGTTACAAAGGGAGGCAACATGGGCAAATGCAGAGAAAAGGCGAAGGCGGGATGGTTGGAATGGGTAGCAACTGGCTTTGCCAAGTCTATCAGAATACAGGTGAATAGTGAGAAAGATTAGAAATGGCAGTACATTCATTTGTTTAACAACAATTAATGAATGCTTGCCACATGCCAGGTACCGTTAAAATAGGAATAGAAAAGTAAATACCCCCATCTGCACAGAGCTCATATTCTAGTGGCTGTGCTACAGGGGTCTTCAATACCAGAGAAGGGGTTAGTACTTAATTCATCAGGCACAGGGGAGCCAGAGAAGGTTTTTGAGCAGGAAAATAATCATATATTCTTGGAGGGGGGTGGGAATGCCAGGTATTAAACTGAAGGGCACTCAACCACTGAGCCACATCCCCCGTCCTATTTTGTATTTTATTAGAAACAGAGTTTCACGGAGTTGCTTAGCACCTCACTTTTGCTGAGGCTGACTATGAACTCATGATCCCCCTGCCTCAGCCTCCCCAGCTGCTGGGACTACAGGTTTGTGCCACCATGCCCAGCTAACATATATTCTTGTCTTTGCAGTTTCCATGGTAACCAAAGAACAACAGCTTTTGTTTATTTTACTGTAATGAAAATTCATAAAGTGTATTAGCCCCTCAAGAAATCTAACTGCTTCACTACTGAACATGTTATAAAAGCCCCAAATCATTATATAAATAGTTCTCAACTAAAACTGAGGGGCAAGGCACTTCCCCGATGCTCAGTAATCTGATGAGGGAATTTCAAACTGTCTGAAGTTTAAACTACATGCCAAACTCTCAGACTTCTCTCTAGGATGGCAATGACAACCTCCACTCTATCTTCCAGGATTTGATCAGAAAAACAGAAACCATCCAAGGTATTTCAATGAAAGGATTTAATATGTAAACTGCACTAAAATTGTTGAAAAGGCTGGGGAAGCAAAGGTCAAGAAAATATACTATGCTGAGGGCCATTACCAAGTAGGAATGACGCATCGAAATTTCCTTGCCAAGCGTACCCCATGCTGCTTAGAGGACATTTGATGGAACATTGCATGCATGCTTTAATAAGGTGACCTTGCTCAAGGACCAAGGCAGATCCGGGTTTAGAGCTGATCAGGTTTGAGGAAGTAACCGGCTCCTTGAGTTTAAGGTGTTGCCAGTTTAAGATAATGGGTTTTAGGGAAGTTGGAGATTGAAGATTATTGCTGAGATTAGGGTGTTCCTGTTGCTTGTTCCCGTTGAGTTCTCGTGAGATTAAAATGGGATTTGGAGAGAGCCTCGTGGAGTAGGTGAATTGTGTGGCAGACGGCAGAAGGCAATTGCCCTTGGACCTGTGTGGAGGCGGTGTGAGAGCGGGAATAAAGAATTGCTGTTTGAACCTACAAAGCTGTGAGTGCCTCGTGATTTAAGCCGAGACAGAATCACGAGGCACTCACAGCTTTGTAGGTTCAAACAGCAATTCTTTATTCCCGCTCTCACACCGCCTCCACACAGGTCCAAGGGCAATTGCCTTCTGCCGTCTGCCACACAATTCACCTACTCCACGAGGCTCTCTCCAAATCCCATTTTAATCTCACGAGAACTCAACGGGAACAAGCAACAGGAACACCCTAATCTCAGCAATAATCTTCAATCTCCAACTTCCCTAAAACCCATTATCTTAAACTGGCAACACCTTAAACTCAAGGAGCCGGTTACTTCCTCAAACCTGATCAGCTCTAAACCCGGATCTGCCTTGGTCCTTGAGCAAGGTCACCTTATTAAAGCATGCATGCAATGTTCCATCAAATGTCCTCTAAGCAGCATGGGGTACGCTTGGCAAGGAAATTTCGATGCGTCATTCCTACTTGGTAATGGCCCTCAGCAATACTATTAGCTTCCAAGAAGTCTGGAATTTCAGTAATTTCAGAAAATACCCACTGATGATCTTAGCCTGCTGTAACACCCAAAGAGACGATTTTCAGGAGGGTACACAACGAGTATTGCAAAATTTCACATCCGCCATTGACCAAAACCTACATGCTTGCCTGCAGCTACCACGGGAAAAATAACAATTTTGTTTTTCTTCTTTCCTTGCAAATTTCTTCTTATTGGCAGAATGTAGATCAGAACTCTGATACAGAGGGATGCTGGGCATATAGTTGTCACACTTATCATACAATACAAGAGAAAGAATAGATGGAACTAGGGATGAGAGATGATTGCCAAAAAATCCCTACTGTTGGTTGAATTATGTCTCCCCAAAAGATGTGTCCAAGTCCCAACCCCTGTGAGTGTGACCTTATTTGGGGTTTTGCAGATGTAATCAAGTTAGAATGAAGTCATACTGAATGTGGGTGGGCCCTAATCCAGTGATTGGTGTCACATACACAGGTAAATTCAGAGACAGAAGATGGTACCAAATGCAGAGGAAGACCAAGGTTGGAATAACGTATCTACAAGTCAAAGAAAGCCAAGGAGTGCCAGCAAACTTCAGAACCATTCAAGGTATTTCAATGAAAGGAAGAGGTGAGGAAAGATCCGCCCCTAGCACCTTCAGAAGGAGCATGACACCTTCGTTTCAGATTTGTAGCCTCCAGAACTGTAGGACAATAAATTTTTGTTACTTTAAGCCACCAGTGTATGGTAATTTGCTAGAATAGTCCTAGAAAACTAATGCAACCACAATCACACACACACATACATACACACACACACACACACACACACACGCATGTGTGAACAAGTATTCTAAAACCTACTGTTCTAGTAAGCCATTATTACAGATAGGACATGTTGTAGAACAGAGGTTGGGTGGGAAAATTAGAAGATAATTAACTGCAGTTTGGGATAGGTGTCCCTACATTTAGTGTCACATCAACATGGAGATATAGGACAAAAATCCTCCTCCACTACTGTGGTAGCCCAAACTGGACGTGAGTACCTAAAAGATAATCCTGGTTTCACCAGATATGAAAAGCTGATGACCTTCTCAGTCTTGGTAATTGCTGAAGGAGCTACGTGTCTCTTGCACAAATTGGCACACAAAGTATTTTTCATTGATTTGCTTGGTGTACAGCTTTGCTGATTTAAAAGCAGCTAAAAAATCCATTTCTAAAATAGAAGGGCCCTCTTCTAAAAGCATATCTAGTTACCAAGTTCTTGATGTTCTTGGATCCAAATGGCATTGGAAGGGGAGGCAGAGCCTGTCTCTGCTCTCCATCTTTTCCTCAAGCCATAGGTCCATGAGTCACTTCAGTCACACTACCCAAGATGTTTGGTATAGTCCTTGCTTCAAGGGTCATCCTTTCCTTAGACAGGTGTCCCAGAATTAAACAGAAGAAGCCTAGGAGTGGGCAAGTTGGCAAAAGGAAGAGAAGACTGTTGGGCTGTGGTATGTGGGTGGAGGTAAGACATAAGATGATACCAGAAACCTGCAAATATTGTGCCTTCAATCTGAGTTCTAAAGAAACCCATGTTCCTAGGTGGTATCAAAGAGACCATAGTCTCTTCATTTCCCCGGGCAATATTTCTCCAACAGAGTGAATCTCAGAATTAAAAAAAAAAAAAAAACATGATAAAGAGCAACCACAGTCCTAAACATGAGAAGTCTGGACAGAGCACCCACTTTTGTTTGGCCATCAGGGAGAATGACCAAGAAGCAGAATTGAGCATTATCTATTTGGCCCAGTCTGAAGGCAGGGAGCTACTGATCATGGAGTTCCTTTCCACCTGACTAGAATGAGTTTCAGGTAATGCTTGGGGTTTCTTCCTTGTCTTTAGCAACAAGGAAGCTGCACACTCCACAGGATTCCTTCCTCAGTCAAATGAGTAGACATGTCGGAGAACTTCCATGAGCAGAAAATCTCACCACCTTTTCCAATTACATGAAACTTTATGCCAAAAGACTGTCAGAGGTGGGCCTTTGATTTGCAGGATTTTCCTACTAAAACCTTGCAAGACCAGGCATATGTTTGTTTTTTCCATTCCAACCTGTCTCTGGAGGCTTCTCTGTGAAAGGCAGCCCAACAATGAGTGCTGTGGTACTGACATGTTCTGCCCTAAGCCAGACTCCCAGATACTTTGGCTGCAGGGCTCGTCTTTACATGATGCTTATCCAGGTTTAAGTCTTTGAGTCTCCTGTTTGACATCAGCCCAGGAAAATGCAGAGGCAATAATCAGCTAGTGACTGCACATTTGCAGGTTTTGCCCAGAGGTGATTTCTTTTCCCTCATCAAAATTCATTACCATGAAGATGGTAGGTTTTCTCATTAATAACCATGACAGTGACCAGCCCTCCTCATTTATCAACTTATTGCTCATCCCAAATGTCAAGTGATCTAATATGATTAGGTAGCTATGTGCAAGTGTCTCCCAACTCAGCCCCCTTCTGGACAATCTAGGAGACAACCTGGCTTTACCTCTGCATAACACTGAATGGTCATTAAGGACTCTTCACAGGTCTGTGGAATCTTAGAGCTCAGTGGAATCTCAATATTAGTCAATCTATTCTCCCTGCCTCTAGACAGAAATGTATGCAGGCTATTTAGGATAGCAGTCATATCTAATCCACACCCACAACTATGGATACATTTTATATATATATATATAATAAGTGCCTTATGGTGCACTTAGTACTTCATATGCACTGGAACTACTCCAGAGGGTATTATTATTCCCAGTTTATAATGGTGTAAATCAAGCTTGAAAGAGGTTAAATAACTCATCAAAATCAATGGCAGAGGTGAAATTTAAACAGGCAGTGCTGCTACCCCAGAGGGTGCTTGCAACTAGGAGAGTTGTGTTGTTGTTGCTGTGTTTGTTATTTTCTCGTGAATCCGTGCTATCTGTCTTTCAATAGTATTGAAAAGTATTTTGAACGTGTACAAGATGCACATTCTTTTCTTCATCTTTTAATTAACTGGATCTGCAAACTCTGTTTCTCATGCATCCTTGGTGTTTCCCAACCCCTCCTCTGGGCAAGCTCTTCCTAAAAAGTCTAATTTTAATGCCTCCCCTCACAATGTGCAATGTGTGCCCACTCTCCCTTATTTGGTCTTGAGGGAAAGCAGAGCAGATGCTTCCTATTTTTTTTTACACAGTTGAAGATTGCTGACCATGTGTGTGTGTGTGTGTGTGTGTGTGTGTGTGTGTGTGTGTGTATGAGAGAGAGATACTTTTCTACAAGTAATTTGGAAGAGACCTACACTGGTAGGTAATCTCCATCTTCTCTGCATATTCAGGTGGCTTCAGTTTCATTGCTAAGTGTCACAGTCAAAATGGAAGACTTAGCATGACATTTATATCACCACAAAGTGCCAATGACACTCTTGTCTTATGAATAAACAGTTTCTACTCCTTATGGCCTATGATTCATGGCCCAGACTGATCAAAGTCGAAAAAATTAACATAACATCCAAGCTTTGAGTAATGAAGACTTAAAGAAACTACAGAGAATCCATTTGTCTCTGAAAAAGTCTTCCAGGAATCCCCAGAATTAACTTTATCAGAAACAGCAGCAAATCTGGCTTTGAGGGCAGTTGCATTATTTCCAAATAGAAGATGCGTCTCTTAACTTCCCTGCTTTAAAGATAAGGGACATTTAATGGGGAAAATGAGGCTTTCAAAAATTCTGGTTTTTTTTTAACTTACACATAAAAATCATACATATTTATGGTGTACAATGTGATGTTATAATGTATACATTGTGGAAGGATTAAATCAAGCCAATCAACACAGCCATCTCCTCACATACTTGTTTTTTTTCTTGTGATGAGAACATTTAAGATCTGCTGTCTTAGCAATTTCAAACATACAATAACTATAGCCACCATGCTGTACAATAGATCTCCACAACTTACTTATTCTAAAATGACTGATCTTTAAAATTTTTTAAAATTGTTTAATTACCTAGTTTGATAGAGTCCTCTGGAGGACTAGCTAATTAAGTGTGTATGATTTCAAATAGCACTACATCATTAGTAGCAGCTATGCACTTGGTACCATTTTAATCTCCTTCCGAGTACTAACATATCATAAAAGGTGTCACAGACCAAGAACACGTTCATTTCAAACACCTAAATGTAGGACAGTATTTTTCAGGTGTCAGGGTACCAAAGTTGGCTCTTTGAAGGGCATAGAAGCCTTTCAAAGACTTCTGTGGGTTACTTTCTATCTTTAGAGAAAACAGATCGCTAAGTTGTGTTCAGTCAGATTTTAAAAGACTTTTATACTCCTACCCCAGTCGGAAATATTGTGTCTGGTGGTACCTGGCCACTACTAATGCATCAGAGGTTATAGGTCTAGAAATTTGCATTTTCAGAAGTTCTTCCAATGATTTTCATGCCCAAAGCATTATAGACTGTGTAGGTCCTAAGTAGACTTGAGACTTGAGCCAACAGAGGCCCACATGGGGATGAGCAAGGTTGTCTCAAGGAGGAGGAAAAGGCCAAGAAGTGATGTTGTTCCTGGTCTCAACTCAGTTTAAGAACTGCTCAGCCTACAGACAGGGTCAGGTAGCAGGTGAATCCACGTCCTGTATTGGAGGCACTAAGGTACAGCAGAGGAGAAGAAAGCAAGCATTCTTGAGTCGCCACCTGGCTGGTAAACCTGACTCTGCCTCTGGTAAGCTGCACAGTCAGTCTGTTTCCTCATTTCCACAACAGAGATAAAATAGTAGCTACCACATAAGGATGCTGGAAAGTTTGAAAGAGCTTTAAGTGCTTACCACAATACTTTATTCCTAGTATGCAGAGGCTTCTGTTATCTCTCCATTGTGACCAAGGGTGGATGTAGATGTATGTGCCTGAAAAGGAAAACTTTTCCTCTACCCTCTTGGGTTTAGTAAATGGAGACCTGCAGATTTAACAGACCAAAGACAGATTCACAGAAGAAAAGGAATACAAAATGACTTGATTTTTTTTATTTTATTTTATATGCTAGCTGGTTCCTAGAAGTGTTTGCCTAAAGGAGCTCATAGTACTTCTTAACAAAGGAGAAAGAGTTTGAGCTTCGGAGAAAAAGGATTATATGAAAGTGACCCAAAAAATATATGGGGGAATTAATGGAAGGTGATATTCTAGCGAGGTTACTTTCGCAGACAAAACTTAGTGCCAGTTCTCTGTCTCCAGTGACAAGGGCCACGTTCCTCATTCTGGAACAGGAGAAAGAGACTTGATACCACCTTCACAAGGGGAAATTCATGCTCTATTTTAGTCAGTAAAGGAAGACCAGAGAGCTCTTCCTGCTTTCAACTCAAAATAATCCTTACGTCAAAGTGGCAGGCAACAAGGTGGCATATCCCAATCTCCCTCATGTGTCGATGGTAAAGTCTGTAGCCTGGACCCCACGAGCACCTCACGATGACCCATTGGACCACCCACTCTCCAGGATATGAAGCAAGTGGGTCAAAATAACGGGAAAAGTTTGAGAACTACAGTGATTTATAACAACTTGGCATAATTTCTCGGTGAACACCTGGGAATATATATCCTATGAGTAAAAGATATGGGTAATATAAGTTGGAGCTGCTTATAACTGACAGATCATTGCCTAATGGAAGAATCCCTTGGCTGGGTCTCCTAACAGAATCTCAGGCCCTGGCCAATCATTGCACTTCTCTGGGCGACATTT